ACATGTCCATCCTGGGCCTCCTGCAGTGCCACAACGATGCCACCCGAAGGTTGCAGGAACAGCACTTCATATTCCGCTTGGGAACCCTGCAGCCCAATGGTCTCAATGTGGACTTCATAAGCTTCAAAATCTCCCCTCCCCCAACCGCTTCCCAAAATCAGCCCAGCTTGTCCCTGCCTCCCTAACCTGTCCTTGCTCCCACCTATCCCCTCCTACCTACTAGCCTCATCCCACCCCCCTTGACTTGTCTGTCCTCCTCAGACTGACCCATCCCCTCCCTAACTCCCCACCTACACACCTTTTACTGGCTCCACCCCCACCTCTTTGACCTCTGTCTCCTCTCCACCTATCTTCTCCTTTATCCATCTTCTATCCGCCTCCCTTTCTCTCCCTATTTATTTCAGAATCCCCTTCCCCTTCCCCTCCCCCATTTCTGAAGGAGGGTCTAGGCCCGAAACTTCAGCTTTCCTGCTCGGCCTGCTGTGTTCATCCAGCTCTACACCTTGTCATTCCAGCATCTGCAGTTCCTACTACCTCTTTCAACAATCTGAGATAGTTATCATCAGCGCATTCTGAAATATAATGTAGTTTGCCAGTTAACTTACATTTTTATTTTCAGGTAAACCGTTGTACCAGCCTACAAATGTTCTTGCAGAATAGACACCCAGTAGATTCTCGCCAGGAACGTTAAGCATTCGATTAGTTTCAGCTCCATAAGTCTGGGATAACCAAGTGCTTTGTTACTGGCATATAATAAAATGTTTGCATTTTTATGCAAAAAACAACTGGTACAAAGACTTCACAGCATTGAAAATTGAATAACTGAACTGCAATGGTTGAAATCTAAAGAAATAAGAGAGAGATGCATCAAGGACCAGTATTCAGAGTTAGCATAGACAAGATGTTTTATATGGTGTCAGGAAACTGACAAATATTCAGGAAATTAATGATTTCTTACCAGTATCAGAGCATGGTAAGCTTGTTTCAGCTCTTCTATGCTTATATCCTTCCCAACAGTAACATTGCCATAAAATGAGCAGCGGTTGTGATGTGCTGTCTGGCTAAATGTATTGATGACATTCTGCAGGGCGGAAATATCATAAACATGCTGATCATTAAATGTGGGTCATAAAATAAATATTTCAAGTAACACAAAGCTGAATATTTTAAGATTTGTGCATCATTGTCTTAGAAAGGATGGGAGATAAGAATGACGGAGGTTTAATTATCACCATATACAGGTCTTCATTAATAACTCAAGAAACTTGCTACCTTCTGTAGTGCAGCAGGCATTTTGTGCTCATTCGAATCAATAACAGACAACTTACTGCACCACACATTCTCAGTGAATTCCAAAAAGTCCTTGAAGTAAAAAAAAAGTTATCTAGAGATTTATTTTATAACTAAGATGTTTTAGGTCAATGTAGGCATCCACAAACCATCATATATAACCTTGCAGATTACATCTGTGAGCAGTTTTAACTGGAGGCGCAAGGTTTCAGCACTGGACAATATGTTACTACGATTGCCTGTACCATTAGTCATAGCAAGCTCAAAAGATAAGACATTCATGTGATAAAACCAACTTCTATTCAGAAAAATATTTATCTTGCAGCATATAAACAATTGCAAGTAATACGAGGTACATATGGAGAGCAGATAAATGAATTCAACAGCCTACTACAACACTTCATATGGAGGGACTGCATCTTCCCAAATTTGACACCAAGGAACAGCAAACACATTACAAAATCAAAATAATCCAAACGTAAAGGCATTTTTTTGAAAATCAAAGAGGTGGAGAGTCAGTCGTCAGACAACTTTATTTGACTTGGACACAAAACTACCTCAATTTGTTAGGGCAAGCTTGCGTATCCATTTTTAATCTGCGTTCAATTTTCTTGTCTACATTTAATAAACTATGTTGCATTAGGTAATGGTTGAGTATATATATCTAGACTTCAATTCTGCAAATTGTTCCATGTCTAATAAGGTTGGCAGCAGGATCCTGTTCAATGCCAAACTGAGACTGAACAAACCTTCACTTCTGGATGGTCAGGGGCAACACCAAATCTCACAAGGCCAAATGGGACAGGCAGTTTCTCATAGATGTCAACCACGGATGATTCATGGTACTGGAACACAAGAGTAAAGATAGCAAATTATTTATAGTGGCTGTCCCCCTCCGCTCAAATTATGGATTTCAAGATACCAGATTGCTGCTATATATTTGAAGAAAATAATGCAGAAAATTGAAGAGTAAACCATACCGAATTACACAGCTTCCACCCTCCAATCCTTAGATAAAATCTAATTTCTGATATTAGAAAGTAAAACACAAACTTTAAAGGCATCTAAATCCTGAAAGAAGCAATTATCAGAAACATTCAAGTCTTTCCTGCAAAGTTTAAAGAGGAAGATTCAGACTTGTATTTAAATTAAGTAACAAGAACTACTAAAATCTCTCTGTTCAAATCCAGCAGGGGTGGAAAAAGAGACTTCCATGTATTCCGTGCACAGAACTTTCAGCATATTCTTTATAAACACACTCACAATTTTGTCATGCACATAGGCACAGGCATATTTATTTACTAGGCCAGTGTAAGGGAGTGGAGTTAACTTGTAGACTTGGAGTCAAAGTATTGGGTTAATAAACGCATTCCTTCAGCTATTATTTTAGCTTCCCACACAAGTCAGAATGACTTTCCCAAACTCTTTCACCCAATTGTGTCATAACTGGGAAGTGACATTATTAATTACATTGTACTCAATTCATTAAAATGGCCAACAGTGGATGATTCCATTATTAAATGGAATGCTAGGCATTTTAATAAATTCAAGCTAATAAATATGAAGCAATAATGGTCTGTAAATACAACCAAACAGTATTAATGTCAATTTCTCACCACTCCCTGCGCAAATTCTAAACTCAAGATCCACATCGTCACTTGAAAACGGGAACAAAGTATAATTTGGTTGCTTCCCCCCCTCACCCCAGTAAAACTGTGCAAATCTCCTCTTCAGAACCATAATTACATCTCCCAGATAGTCATTCCACCCATCGACCTTGTGCCAGCTCAGTGTTAGTTATCCAATTAATCCCAGCCCCTTACTCTTTCCTTATGTTCCATAAATATATACCTCAAGTATATATCTGAAGAAGGGTTCAGAACCAAAACTTCAACCTTCAACCTTCCTGCTCCTCTGATGCTGCTGGGCCTGCCGTGTTCATCCAGCTCTACACCTGGTTATCTCAACCTCCAGCATCGGCTGTTCCTACTATCTCTACTTCAAGTTTTTTTTTAAATGTTACTGTTGAATCCCTTTCATGCACTGCATTCCAGATCACAATAACACTCTGCCAAAATAGTTCTCTCATTACAGGTCTAGTCTATTTATCAATCACCTTGACCACTGGTTCCCTATCTTCCTGCCACTGAAAACAAGGTACCTCTCTATTTGCTATAACATAATCATTCATGATTTTATCCTTATTTACTCCCCTTTTAACTTTCTTTAAAGGGAAGGCTACTGTTTCTTAAGTCTCTTCACACAACTGAATTCCCAAGTCCCCGCCATTATTTGAGTAAGCTCTTCTACACCTTTCCCAAGGCTAAACACATTCTCTAACTGAGCCCTAAAATCTTCTATCTTGTATTTCTGAGTCTTCCATTCTGTATGCAAGCCATGACATCAGCATGCTGTTAGTAATCGAGTACTGATCCTCTCCTCCCTCAACATCTACATATGTAAACTTCCATCAGATTGTGACCAGGACCAACAATCTTAGATTACAGTAGTCTCTCCCCATTCCAGGTAGGTCTGAGTCACTAAGGCCAACTGCAAAAACCTACCAATGCTCAACTGACAGGATCACTCTGCAGTTACAACAGATTAAACCAAGGACATTTCCAATCTGTGAGATCCAGTACAACATCAGATGATGCACCAACTAAGTCACTGGTGAAAACACATGTACAATACTTCCTAAAATCAATAATTATGAACAGAAGGGGACATTCCACTCCTCAAGGCTCCATAAACTACTCTATTTACTCAGCTCAATATCCTTTACAACACTAACTTAGCAAGGAGATTTATCAATTTTAGTTTTGAGGGGTTTCATTGCCCACCCATCTCTCTTCCAGGCAAACGTCCAAGACGTGACCTGACCATTCACAACCTTGGTGTCCCATCGGACCCAAGAGGAGCCTAACTCAAACCTGCCATTACTAATGCCCTGTGAAATGTTATTATGTTAAAGACACTACATAAATACAAGCTGTTACCTAGTAGTGTGTACTTCATTAACTTGAAATTAAGTGCTTAATTGCCAGAAGACTTCATACAAAAATTCACCAAAGGAGCAATAACATTCACAAGGGTTGCCTTTATGCAAGATTACCTTAAGCAGGTGCTGGGCAGTGTAGAAACCTGCAGGACCACTACCAATAACACAAACTTTCAGCTGAGGATCTACTTTGGAGGACAAGCCTCGGACTCCTGAATTGAAAACAAAGACAAAAGACTACATCAATTCACGGTGAATTCAAAAATAGTTTGCATTGCATGAAACAGATCAAGTCAGCATTAAGAAAAGTACAGCCACTTTACATATACATGTGCTTCACATTCCTTGTGTTAAATCTGGTTTAGGAAGATATAACAACAAGACTTGGACAATATCAGGTTTTGCTTGACATGCAGAAATTAACATTCACAACACAAGTGACAGTAACATCAAGATCCAACAAGAGAAAATCTAGCTTTTACCCTGTGACATTTAAAAAACATTACTATTGCTGGATTCCCAATAACATTCTGGGGACAGATTAACCACAAACAGAACTGGACTAGGCATATGAATGTTGTGGCTAGGAATCCTGCAGCAAATAACTCACTTAACACCCCAAAGCCTGTTACCACCTATAAAGGCACTTCTCAGAACAGGGTGATGATTCAGGGCTCTTGTGGAGACACAACTACCGCACCACCTCTGGACCAGAGCCCTGTGTTTAAATCCCACCTGCTCCTGAGATGTTGTAATATGTCTCATTAAGTTAACTAAAAAATATCAAATATATGATGGAATACTATCCTCTTGACTAGATGAATGCCGCTGTGGCAAGACTCAAGAAATTTGACAGAAAGCAAGACAATGCAGCTCACTTGATTAGTACCACCACATCCACACACTCCACCATTAATACACAGTAGCAGCAATGCCTACCATCTCCAAGATTCACTTCAGAAATTCACCAGTGATCCTTAGACTGTACCTCCCAAACTCATGACAGTTTCCATCTAGAAGAACAAGGGCTGCAGATTCCAGGAAATACTACCACCTGCAATTTCCCCTCCAAGCCACTCGCCATCCTAACTTGGTCATTCCTTCATTGTCACTGGGTCAAAATCCTGGAATTCCCTTTCTGACAATATTGTGGGTCTATCTACAGCAATGTGGACTGCAGAGATTCCGAAAGCTTGTGTTTTCAAATAAACCTGGTGGAGTATAACCCAGTGTCGTGTGACTTCGGGAAGGCAGCTCACCAGCACTTTCTCAAGGGCAACTAGGGACGGGTAACAAACACTGGCCCAACAGCCCACGAATGATTGTTTTCTTTAAAACAAAAAGAACAAGGCAGGCTGTTTGACAGCAGTAAAAAAGATATAAAGCAGCGCATGCTGCTGCATAGCTCACAGAATCCCCACAGTGCAGAAGCAGGCCATTCGGCCCATCGAGTCCACACCGCCCCTCCGAAGAGAATCCCACCCCCTACCCCATCCCTGCATCTCCCACCCTAGACACGAGCACAGCCAATCCATCTAACCCACACATCTCTGAAAAGCGGACAGTATTCCAGCAGATAATTAGACTCACCAAAAGATGACTGAAAATTAAGTACGCAGAGTAAAAGAGGGGGAAATATAAAGTTACTGCCCAATCACAGCCAACAGCACAAGGCCCAGAGACAGAGGACGGAGCATGGGTTTCCCACAGCAACCTCCTCCCCCCCCCCCAAAGAACCTCGGTACTCACGACAGTGCGGTGCTGCCATATGACAGGCATAGGCCAGCCCGCGGGCGAGAAGCGCGGCCAGAGCCCCCACAGCCCGCATGACCCCCCCTCTCTCTCTCTCTCTCTCTCGGTCAGCCAGCTACCGCCGCTACCGGCGATATCCCACCCTGAGGCCCGGTCTGGGGGTCAGAAGGCAGCCGCATCATCACGTGGGGCCGGATGGGCGGGGTCTCCAGATCTATCCAATCGGAACGCGGCGTCCGTGACTAACCACGCCCCCGCGTGAAATACGTTCATTGTGATTGGCTACTGCATCTTTGCGCTGTCTGCCTTTTAATCTTGAATAGATATTATTGTATAAGTTTAATATTTTACTTGGTGCATGTTGCACCGTTCACACCTACTGTATTTTTAAATATTTTATTTGGTGCATGTTGCACCGTTCACACCTACTGTATTTTTAAATATTTTATTTGGTGCATGTTGCACCGTTCACACCTACTGTATTCTTAAATATTTTATTTGGTGCATGTTGCTCTGTTCGTACCTACTGTATTTTGCACTATTTTATTTGGTGCATGTTGCACTGTTCACACTGGATGTTATTGTCACATTGGAGGGAGTGCAGACAGGATGGATTTGAAAAACCCCATGTCCGCTAACAAAGTGGGAGGTCAATGGCAAGAGAGCGTTTATCCTCATTTGTTCATGGGATGTGGCCACTGGGGCAAGGCCAGACCCTAATGAGGGCTTCATTGTCACCATTGTCAGAGTGGCTGAGATAGCATTCCCTAATCATGAACCAGAGGGTCTTTTTTTCACAATAATGTTTTGATGATGAGCCTCAGTAGGATTTGCTTTTGATTCCCACATGCTTAAAAATTAGAGATGTTTGAACCCATGGCTGAAAGCATTAGACTTTCCAAAACCACATGTATAAAAATGCTCCCATGTAAGGTTTAATTTTGTCGTTTTTCTTCCAACATTTATCACATCTGTACATATAAAATGGTTCATTCCAGCAATGTTATTGTCATCAGCTAAAACAAGTCATTCCATTTTTATTCCTTAACCTCGTGTCAATCCTCACTATTTAGTGACAGCATTTTAACCAATCTTCTCTAAATATAGTTGATGTGCCAGGACTATGAAATACTGCTTAGATAAAGGAGTCAGAAACTAAATCATTCATCACACATTTAAACCTACTCATGCCAAGTATTATTTAGTCACGTTCATCATTTTTTTCGGAATTTTATTTATTTTAGTTATAGAGTCATAGAGTAATACAGCACCCTTCAGTCCAACCCGTCCATACCAACCATAATCCCAAACTAGTCCCACCTGCATGCACTTGGCCCATATCCCTCCAAACAATTTGTTATTCACGTACTTATCCAAATGTCTTTTAAATGTAACTGTACCCGCATCCACCACTTCCTCTGGAAGTTCATTCTACACATGAACCGCTCTCTATGTAAAAAAAATTGCTGCTGATGTCTTTTTAAAATCTTTTTCCTCTCACCTTAAAAATATGCCCCCAGTCTTGATATCCCCCACGCTAGGGAAAAGACATTATCTATACCCCTCATGATTTTATAAATCTTTATAAAGTCACTCCTCAACCTCCTATGCTCCAGTGAAAAAAGTCTTAGTCTAAAAAAAATGTTGTTCATGACATAAAATGAAACTTGACATTTCTGTATTTTTGCAGAATTATTTTTGGAAAGTTGAATGCTCTGGGGACACAGATTCAGATCTCACCAAAGCAACTCCCTACTTTTATTGAACTCAGTGTAAACTCCAGAAACCTCATGTTGTCTTCCAATTATGTAATTTACAGCCTTTCAGGCTCAACTTTGAGTACAATTTCAGATCATAATGCTCCCATTTTTCAGAAAGTATTAGTGAATATTTGGTGAATGCCATTTAAACTTCTGGTAGACACACCTCTGTTTCTTGTCCCAATGCCATATGCTTTTCCATAATCATTTGTTCTGTCATCCAGTCCCTCCTCTTTTCTACCAAGATTTTATTTTGTATTTTTCCCCTTTGCACCTTGCCTTCCCCACCACTAAAGCCCATTACATCTCCAAACTCTTCCAGTTCAACATGATACAGGTTTTTTCTGGTTTACTCCCACATTACATCTGAACGGCTTGGTATCTTCGAAATTCCTGATATCATTGGCTGTATGTGCAATATTTTGCTTTTGTTTTGGAAGAGCCAAGTCAGAAGTTTACAAAGACACATGTAAGGGTTTGAATGTTGCTCAACTGAGGTAGAACTTGATGCTAAAAATACAATGAGACAAAAGTCAGCAGTTGTTGTGAAGGAGAGGGGAATGGATTGGAAACTTGATTGGAGTGAACAGAAAGCCAAGGTTCAACCTGAGTCTATGGCAATGGATTGAAATGAAGTGCCCCAAGAACGGAAGTTGTAGCAAGGACCAATGGTAATGGATATAGTTTTTCTGATGTTTAATTAGAGGAAATCAGAACATCAAACTGCAACTCAAACAACTGCCAAACTTTACAACATTAGTCACTTGTTGATTTGTGTCAGAAGTCCTGATTTGTCTTTTATGAATTCATAATGTGGTTTATCTTGATATAATGATTACACATTTCTATCTTATATGCATCTTTTTCTAATAGCATTAGGTAGGCCACAATTATTGCCCAATCCTCCATGCCCCTCATGATTTTATAAACTTCTATAAAGTCACCTCTCAGCCTCCGATGCTCCGGGGAAAATAGCAGTCAGCAGTACCTCTTTCACCTAAACTAAATCCCCAGCTGGCCTCCGCAGGCACAGGTAAAAGATCCTACTTTGAAATGGAACAGGAACTTTAATCCTTGTGTCCTGGCCAACATTTATCTTGCAATTTATATCACTTAAACAGATTATCTGCTCATTATCTCATTGCAATGTCTGAGACCTTGCTGTGTATAAATTAGTTGCTGCATTTCCTACATTACAACAGTGATTACTGTGGTGTTTTGTAAATTCCTACTTCAGAAATAAAACCAGTCTGACTCCAAACTAAAACACAAACAGATTCTGAACAAGGCCTCACACTTAGCACGCATTGTCTGAACTAAAATGTCACCTCTTCTTTCCACTGATAAAACCTTTAGTTCTCTCAGGACAGTGACTTGAAAGAAATTTGGGGATATACATATACATACTAATCAATTAAAACCTTCTAACTGATTAAAGATTTAACAGCATCATAGGTTTGTTTAATGCATCCTCATCAGTGGTGTGACCCTTTGATCTTTTACTTATAAATTCTGTGTCTGATAGTACCTCTCTCACTAACACCTGAAGACGGAGCGAGGTTCAGAAAGCTTGTGTTTTCAGATAAGCTTGTTGGACTATAACCTGGTGTCGTGTGATTTCTGACCTTGTCCACCCCAGTCCAACACCAGCACCTCCATATCATTACACTTCAAATGGACTTAATTAGTTGTAAAATACTTTGGCATCTTCTGAGGTCAGAAAAGGTGCTATATAAATGCAAAGAGACAACAAGATGCAGGGCTGGATGAACACAGCAGGCCAAGCAGCATCATAGGAGCAGAGAGGCCTCTCTGCTCC